ATAAAAATTATTTTAATAATTTTTTATTTTAATAAAAAATTCATTAAATATTTGTGGGTGTGTGTAGGGTTTTGTTTGAGAACACACACACAACACAAACACAACAAGCCGTCTCCTCTCCTCCTGCTCTCTCTCTCTCTCTCTCTCCATCTAGGGTTTCGCCTTCTTCTCTCTCTCTTTCACACAACGACGGCGCCGATCATCCGTCACCGCCGATCCTCCCTCACTCCCGATCCTCCCTCACCGTCGCTCGTACCTCACTGTCGATCCTCCTCCCTTACCGCCGCTGCTGCCTCCCTCTCTCTCTCTCTCACAAACGACGTTGACGGTTGCTCGCCCCTCACCGCCACTCCTCCCTCACCGGCGATCTTCCCTCACCGCCGATTTCAAAGGGTATCTCTCTCTCTCTCTCTCTCTCTGTGTCGGGATTTCGGATATAGGGGGTTTTCATACACACACACACATATATATATATATACATCTGTGAGTGTATATAGGGGGGTTTTTGATCTGTTACATATATATATATATATATATGATCTGTTTTTTTTTCTTGATCTGTTTTTTTATGTTCTTTGGTGATAGATTCTATTTAATTAGTTGGGTGTGCATGCTGACTTGTGTTTTTATGTTCTTTAAATTTCAGTTACTTTCTTTCCTTTTTTTTGTGTTTAATGTTGTTATCATTGCATAGCTAATCTAGTAGTTTAATCACTGCTAGTTGATATTGTTAACAAATTTTCCTAATAGAAAAGTCCATGAAATCAAGAACTTCACAAACCTTCAGTAATTTTTTTAGCGTTAGAGTAGTTAGGAAAGACTGTAAAATTGGCTTAGTTGAGGCCCAAAATTCAAATTTGAGAGTTTGCTTTCAAAGAACATTTGAAGATGAATAGTTTATATGTTTTCTGCTGTAAATTTAGCATTTTGCAAATTAATTCAGGTGTTTCAACTTCATCTATTTAGATGTAGCGGAAGCAGCATTTGGTACATCTTTTGGTTGTGATTGATGACTACCTTTATGTATCATCTAAATTCCAAGGAAATGTTTTTACTTTACGTTTTGTCACCATTTGGTTTTCCATTTGATATATGATCACTATAAATGGAAATGTAAGAGGAATAGACTAAACTGATATGCAATGTTGTAGTGAAATAAGATTTCAATTTATTTAATTTAACTGTATATATAGCTCTTGACAGAGCGGAAAGGCAAAAAATGAAAACCAACACAAGACTTAGTTTGGTTTGATTTTCTTTTTAACAAGTTTTCACTTTTTATATTTTTCCAAGAAGGGATAAAGGAGTTAATCCTACTTGTACTGTCAAGCATGTAATCCAGTATGAATATCACAAATTTGAGTTGATGGTGGTTATTTTTTGAAGTTTGTGATCACAATACAGTTTAGTTACACTTTTTTATCAAATCATGATCATCCTCTTTTACTTTTATGTAACAGATAATCAATATTAAATTTGTAATAATTAATTAAATCGTTACCCTTTCTTGACTTCTTGATTATCACTTACTCGTTTATTTTCGTATCACCCGATCTCCAAATTTTCTCTTTGCTTGTCTATTTTAATACTTTTTGTTGTTGAATCATTTAAGAAAGGTGACACCTCTTTCATTATTCTAACCCTTGATCTTCATGACAATGGTTCTTATTAAAAACACATAATTCATAATTTGGTCTGGGTGAAATATCCTTGAAAATACTTGCCTCTTTTGGTGTGTTAAATATTAACTCAGTCTCATTGATAAGAAATAATGTCTGCAAAGAGATATAAAATGAATGGGTACTATTATTATAGTCTAAAAATTATATTTATTTTCAAATTTAGTGATATCACAATCAATTAAAATATTTAAAATAATTTTTTTCTTATATCTTTTTTAATTATTAGTTAATTATCTATCTTACAGATTACTAAATTTAAAAAATAAGTCTACAAAGTGGACTTATATATTGTTTTTTAAAATTATTTAACGATTTTGAAATATACTCGTCAAAGAGGCAAAGGTAAAAAAGATCAATTAAATGTATGTTAGCTGCAGAATGTTGTAGATGTCACTGATGTGTCTGTTTCGATGCCAATGAGGCAAAGCAAAACCAACTACTTGTGGTAACTATTTTGGATGGGCAAAACTTGGTCCTAATGAGGTATATGAAAATGAGCAAAACTTGGTCCTAATGACAAGGGTAATGCTGGATAATTAATTCAATGAAGCACTTATTAATTATAATTTCAATTTTTTTCTTATTAATTAACCCGCTTTAGTTTAGTCTGTTATCATAGTCTGTTGGCATATGTCCAGTCTTGCTTCTCTTGAATTCACACACATTGGCAGACTATTGACTGTTGCTTAAGCAGGTATTTGGTGCTCCAAGGACAACAATGTTCATATTAGGAATGATTTCTTTATTCATAGGCATTTCTTTGCTGGCACCAGACGAGGCAAAAGGTATAGTTGTGGGTCATGGATATAGTTGTGGATCATGATTTCTGTATTCATAGGCATTTCTTTTCATTAGAGCTATTAGAACTCTAATATTAGAGCTCTAAAGCATTTATATCGTCTCCCTCTCATCTTTCTTAACAACCATAGATCATAAATTGTTGCACAAAAAATACAGAAAATAAAAAAAAATTTAATTTTTAGTGGACACCCTATTTTTTTTATTTTTTCGTAAATTTTTTTTCGTTACACTTGATTAACTATCATATATAGAGTTAATTATAATCACATATTAGTATTCTTCTCACAATTCTTTATGATGGACCCTCTGCATGTGAGTTCCTACAAAAAAAATTTGTGTATTCTACAATCCAAGACAGGTAGGAACCTTTTAAGTCTAACCCTTCGCACTCCCATCAGACATGAAAAAATTTCCCAGGTATATTACAATAAGAGTTTATTACACTATTTTGGACTACATTGAATTCCATTATTATTATTATTATTATTATTATTATTATTATTATTAGAGTAGGGAAAACTTTGGTTTCTCTAATTGAGAGATATGCAGTTGTTCCTGATGACAACGTAAGTGTTCTTTCCACAGTCTTCATTGTCTTCATTACTGGTGTTTAAATAGTTGAAATGTGTGGAACACCTGTGTAGACGCGCCCGCGAGGGCCTCACGCTACAGTTCGGACTCGCGATTTTGTGTCGCGGTTCTTAATCTGAACCAAAGAGTCCAAATCTGGCAAATCGTTTTGAGAAACAGATTTTTGAAAAAGTAGTGCCAAACATGGACTGCTTTGCCAGATACAGAGTCGCCACCTAAATATTTTAAAATGGGGGAATTTAGGAAACCCTGACTCGATGCCGAAGGTCACATGTCCGTCATCACCGGAGTTGTCTCGGCCCGGGAGCTTGGGTACGATCGGGGAAGGTCAGCTATGAGCACCCCCTTTCGCCCAGTCCGAAGACCGGCCTCTACTAACCACGATATCCGATTTTGAAAACGCTATGTGTTCTTAAACCAATTATTAG